CCGGTGACAGCAATTAACACAAATGCATGATGCCTAGACAATTTCCATGCTTCCAGTTGAAAATTTTATTATCAATGAATGAATAAATTACTTTCGAATTAATTATGTATGAGGTCCATACTTTGTGAAAATCAATCTTAATATTGAAGCAATACAATAACTTTTTTCGCACACATACCGATAGGTGAATAGTCTCACTTAGATTCCGAAGATGAAATAGCACCTACTTTGAAGAGCGAATCATTCGTTAATTTTATATACTTAGCATATGTTAAACTTTTTATACTTAGTAATGTTACAGACCTTAATGACATATTTGAACTGAAATTAATGATATATAAAAAAATAATGTTTAATTATTGAGCATTTTGGACATTTGGAGATCGAAATCTTTCAAAAAACCATATCCCTAAAAAATTGTTGATTCTATATTAAAATTCTTCATACGATAAATGGACAAAATATTCAGTCTCCTCATGTCACTCTTCGAAAGGTTTCAGTTCAAAATCGACATATAGATCGAGTTGTTAAAATTATTTTCTTTACTTTTTTACGACTGTTGAAATTAAGGACACATATCAAAGCGTAAATAACAATTCACTTCATAATTTTTCAGTTCCGATTGAATATGAGTAGTATGTAATAAATCAAAAAAATATTGGTAATATTTTTCTCGTTCTATGAAATTGTCATCACGTAAAATTGTCAACATCTTTTCAGGAAAATTAATCAATTAGGTAAATCAATGCTTGCAAATTCTTCATTCCTGTAGGTGTAGATGAAGCAGAAATAACTTCAGAAATAGGTAATCATATATTTATTATAAACCTGCAAAAGGAACATGAAACTGAAAAATTCAAGTCTATTTCATGTCACTAAAATTTCCTCTGAAAACCGTGTTAAAATTTTAAAATTTACTCAGAACAAAATTGTTGGACATGTCAAAGCATATACATACTCGTACATTATTTTAAAATTGGCCATTTATGGTTAGCTGTCGGATAAATACTACTTCCCGATTATAAATACGTATCTCATTTGGAAATCAGTAGCGTGCACTTCAATGTTATATAGGTAACGGGTTAGTAATAATTTACAAAAATACGCTAAATAATACCACATGAAAATATAATATTTACGAAGTGTTTTTAGTGAAACAATATAAGAATTTAATTCAACACTGTGAACATCCTTCAGTTACTAACTTTCAATTATAACCATTTCATGGTTGTTGCGTTTTAACATTCACGATGAAAATATGCTTGCCCAGAATTGTTTTCGATAAAATTTCGCTGACGGAACGAAGAATAACTTACGGATTTTAAAATGTACTTCTGAGAATCGAGGTCAATACTTTTTGGTGCATAATTTTCTGCTTCTGAATTCGTGGAATGGAATTTTAAAAATAAGCTCTCCTGGTAATACAATCCAATGAGAAACGAAAATTTCAAATCTACATACTCAGAATGGAATAGTTTTTCAAGTCTAAGGATGTACTTCTGAGAATCGAGGTCAATACTTTTTGGTGCATAATTTTCTGCTTCTGAATTCGTGGAATGGAATTTTAAAAATAAACTCTCCGGTAATACAATCCAATGAGAAACGAAAAGTTTCACCTAATCAGATACATACTCAGAATGGAATAGTGCTTTTCAAGTCTAAGGATATTTTTCTTAGTCAGCAAATATTATTTAGGAAATTCAAAGTTTTATATGAGAGGTACATTTTGAACGATATATATATATATATATATATATATATATATATAAGTATATATTATATATGAACAGTAAAAGTCAATAAAAGTAAATTTGACTCAATATCTATTTTCTTAATGTAAGTTATTGTATTATTTAAATATCTTGTCATATCGAAGAAGCCATTGTAATGGCAAAACGTAAGTCACAATTGTCTATAAAACTTTACTAATCTAAAAAATCTGAATTGTGCATTCTAGAATTTTTAAGGAGAATAAGTTTGTGTGCTTGATTCTTGACACCATATTTTCATTTTTCCATTTTTATTGATAACTGTCACTTCATATTCACAGTTATGTACTCCATGCCCGATAAAATGCAAATAAAAAGAATTTATCTGAGAAACATATATAAATAATTGAGTAAATGAACTGAAATAAATACAGAAATTTTCATTATTGGAAAAAACCTTGAGATGTACCTATGTCATTCGAAACAACGAAGGACGACAAATTTTAAAATTTAAATAACTTCATATCTAATAGCTAAAACTGGCTAAATAAAACGTTTCACCCATTTGTTGATGAAATAAGTAGGAATCAGTTGTATTTATATGTTAACGGATTATTATAGCTATCATTATTTCACCTATATAATTAGTGTACCAATAATTTTTTAAAGTATTATAATATCACATTAACTTCACGGCCATCCTACGATTGCATAGAAGAATGTTGAACCGTTATTGGTCTTTTTCGTCGTCATGCTTCCTGACAGATTCATTCGAATGTTCGATTACTGAGTTCGAGTTTAATTCGAATTTTTCTTCTTTGCTGTGGACCACCATTTTTTTTTCAGAATATATATCAGCAGAATTGATTTCAATTCACAGGAGCCTTAAGTGGCTAAAATGAACTCCAAGCTTACCTCGAAAATTTCCTCGTCAAGCTAGTTTAATCATATTCTACAAGCATTTACTGTGAGCATGTAAAAGTGCAAGCTTGGTAGACTGAATAATGGCAGGAGTTCTCAACAAAGGTCCTTAAGAAGAAGAAAAAATGTGACTAGAAAGAAGAAAAGCTGCATGTAGTGACACCAAGTTTAACTTTGAATAAGTACTTGCTTTAGTTGAGTACCTACTACTTTATTGATGAACGTGCCTGCGGTGGTACTACTTAAATTGATCTGGAATCTGCACGGCTTGAGTCGTGTGATGGATTATCTCACGATTTCCGCGATGTTCTATTGTTTATCCAAACAATAGGTAGGTTTCACTATTAGGGGCCAAATTTAATAACACGTGACAGATCACGTTCTCTTGTACGAAATCGATAGTGTTCTATGAGAAATAATTTATTTGTGTGCTCTATTCCGCTTTCTATGCCAAGACAATTTTTCCTTTCAAGATTTTACATTTAGCTTCGATATATGTATATCATCACCTCATCAACCTTTGTCCGTCCAGTGCATAACGAAAGCCTCCCCTGTCTTTACATGTACAGATATAGATGTATGCATATATTTCTCAGAAAATTGATAATTGCCTCAAAAAATATAACATTAAAATCGGACACAAGCCAAATAATTTTACAAATAATTTTTTCACCAACCTTAAGCCTACCACCGAATTCAAAAACACATCACATACCTGTTTACAAAGTTAATTGCAAAGAATGCAATGGAACTTACATTGGTAAAACAATATATTCATAAGAGATTATATGAACATAAATATTCTGTAATCAACAATAAAAAATGCACCGCACTTTCAAAACACGCATTAGATAATTTACACTCTTTTGACTTTGAAAATGCCAAGATTCTTGCCATTGAACAAAATGACACAAAGAAATTTCTTGGAAATGTTAGAAATTAATTTAGACGAAAATTCCATCAATTCTAGAACACAACTAGACAATTTCTTTCACACCTATCAGAATCTATTTCTATAATCTCAATTCTATATTTTGATACCCATTTTCAGTTATTTCTGTCATTTTGTTCCTATACATTAGACATTGCTGAATCTGTTTCCTGCTTTTTCATGTTGTTTTGTTTTTTATATCTTTTTGTTTTTTTGTGTTTTATTTTTATTGTTTTAAATGATGATTTTAATTTTGTAATTGCTGCGATTGTCGAAGGAAAAGATGGTATTGGTTCGGGGTATCAAACATTTCATTGTTTATCATCATATCAATATAGATATTATAAAAACTGGTTATCCTAATACGACCGATTTGCATATTCCACAGTTCTCAATGCTGCCAGTAAAATTAAAACAATGAGTGATTGATGTTCTGTTCTAATCTCATCACATCAAATTATGCATTGTTGGATGAATTCTTTTGTAAGTTGTATTAATGCCTAATTGATTGACATTTATATAAAATTGGCTGTTCTTGTTTCAGACAATTAAATTACAATTTGAAAATGGCTCATCGCCGAAATGCGTAAAGAAGAATTTTATTGTAAAAACCTAAAGAAGAATCTTCTTTTAGTATAATATACGACCTACCCCCAAGAATCAGAAATTAAATTAAATTAAAATAAATAGAAAAATAAATATATATATATATACATATGTACTTGAAAATGAAGGCAAGTTTGTAAAATTGAGTAGTTTTCATTGTCATAACACAAGAAATGTAAACACTTTGTTTATTCCTGGACATAGGTCGGCCAAGTATGAAAATTCACCAGCTTATCAATGCATCAAATTATATAATCATCTACCTTATGCATTTAAATGCCTTGGTCCTGCTAGGTTTAGGAAAATTGTAAAGTCAGTGCTCCTGAAAAATTGTTACTATAGTGTAAGGGAGTACCTGACCGACAATAATATTACTTATGTCTGACTTTTCCAACACAATTATATAATTATTTAATAGTGTTGGCGTTTACTTGATGTAAATCCATTATAATTGAATATAACTTAAATTCAAACACTTGAACTTATGATTTACACTTTATTGACTACATGAATATAACTTAAATTCAAACACTTGAACTTATGATTTACACTTTATTGACTACATAGCATGACGCTATTATTCTGTAAGCATCTGAAGAAGTCGTTTGTAACGACGAAACGCGTCATGCTATGTAGTCAATAAGTGTAAATCATAAGTTCAAGTGTTTGAATTTAAGTTATATTCAATTATATAATTGTCTAAATGGATGTAATAAATTCTATTCTATTCTATATATATAGTTATATAACGAAAGACGATAACCCGAGCTTCGAAGACTAGCTTGCGAATAAAAGAGTAATTAGATATAGTCGAAGTTGCATCGCGAGGTGTAGATCTCGGTAGCTTAGCTGGTAGAGCAGCAGGGCGTAAGCCTGAAAAACCTGGGTTCGTATCCCAGTCGAAGTCGAAAACTTTTGTGATGTAATTTCGATTCTAAAAGAATTTTCAATATTGAAATACATATATATATATATATATATATATATATATATATATATATATATATATATATATATATATATATATATATATAAAAAAAAAAAACTTGCGAGTCGAACAATCGTCTTACTTGATTATATATGTAAGTATAAACATAATAATAATAATACAATTTTTTTATGGAAAAGAAATACTGAACAAATCAAATTGAAATTATTCACTTCTAACCATGTAAGGACATGTCTTTGCATATGGTTAGAATATAGGCATAAGGAAAGTATATCGATATTCATTTAGATATTATCGAAATTGAAAGTTACTCTGTTTTCTATAAATGAGTGATCTAAAAGGCTAAATGGCTTAATGCGTCTCCATTAATTCTATTACTAATCTGGTTTTAGACAGTTAAATTTTCGTTTGAAAATTTCACGAATATTTTACAAAATTAAAGCAATTAAGTTACAATATTCTTAATGACCACTCAAGTACTTAATTATGTTCATTAATTTTCAGATGTCAAAGGTCATTACAAAAATACAAGAAGCTTGATATACAAATATTTAATTGACAAGAACTAACGTAATGACACCGAATTCCGAACACTGATCGATTTGATTAAAATAATCCTTCAAACGAAAAATTAATAAAAAATTCAATTGAAAAAGGTTTTTCTGAATGATTACATAACTATTCTTACTAAGAGACGTACATAACTTTATCTCATATTGTCTGAATCATTCATACTCGTATATTTGATGTTAAACGGTAACGATTTGGAAGTAAACCGAAAGCACCGTTTGCCGACTGGCTAACAACTATCCTTACATCCGACCACTGAAGATCCTGATTCCGACCAGCGAAACTCACCTACTAAAATTAACTTTATGACTGAAAATACAAAGTAAATGAGTGAAAAAACTACAATTCGAAAAAACAATCTAGTATCTATTAGGACATAATTATACCGATAATGACGTGCAACAAAATATCCCGAAAAACACAAAAATTAATTCATATATACCATAACATAAACGATGTAACTACAGTTTAACGCCGGTTTCCGGTTACCGAACGGCCATTGGGCTTGTAATCAATGTATATTACCCAGCATATATCATTTTTAAACTGCTTAAATCATAGACAAACACAAACACCCATGGCGTCATCGGAACTCGAAGCCGAAACCTACCGCACCATAGTCGGGTGTGTTCTGCCGACATTTTCTATGAACTTTGCAGTTTTTCTCGCCTTTATGATGTAGGTCTTTTTTCATGAAATTCTAGGTCCTGAGATCTTCGGATGTTCCATCAGGTCAATTATTTGAAACAATTTGGAGAAAATAAACTATTATTACTCATACGCATTCATATATATTCATTGAAGAATCATTTTCAGATTTTTTATATCTACTACTCCACTTAATAAGTCAAATGTGTTTCTTTCACGTAAGTGACATGTTCATTAGTAGAAGATGTGATATTTTGTAATTAAATTTTTATTATATTTTCGTTATCAGAAAATTGCTCTACAAACTAAAAGTAATCTAAGTACAGCATCATCATCAAATGGATACAATCCACTAAAATTCTGAATTCTGATATATTACATTAGGTACAATTATTTAAAAAAATAAACTTACTATTTATAATTTTGATTGATGAATCATTTTCAAGTTTTTCATATCTAACTGATGGTGAACTTCCTTAGAAAAACGAGCTTCTACTTCACTTAATAAGTCCGATGTCAGAATTTCTTTCTCGCAGCTGACATGTTCATTCAGCAGAAGATGTAATTATTCTTTAATTAAATTTTTCAATACTTGTGTCTTCGTTATCAGAAAATTGCTTTAACAAATTGGAGTTATGTAAGTATAAATGGATTCGAAATAGGATATCGGAAATGGAAGTCAGTTATATTCGAAAATTAAACTGAAATCTATTACGCATTAATACTGATCAATAATTATCAACCAGTTTTGAATGATAGAATAACAAATCGATATGTTTTGTTACGAACGGCCGTTATCATCTTTATTAGAAAGGGCAATGATCTGTCTTTGGCATCGAACCTCAGTATAATTAAGTATTTTGAGCGGCGTTCTATTACCGAGAACAAATATGTAACTATTACAGAATTGATACATTCCACCAATCAACATATTTAGACATAGGTACTATCCTTTGTTAAACTCCATTATAAGTAGTTTATTGATTACAAATTTGTAAGATTTCTAGAACTGAAACAGAACAACTAACTGAGTACTTATCGAAAAAAAACATGCGAAGGTGAAAAATCTAATTTTTTGATACCTACATATTATATAAAAATGAGATAATACCTAATTAGAACAAACAAAATATAATTGTACCTAAGTGGCGCAGTAATATTTTAGTGTCAGTGCTGAATGAAAATTAACATGGTTACAATGAAATCATAGTTTCTTGTTGGCTTGAAGGGAGAACACCCGACTATGGTGCGCTAAAACTCGGGTTCGAGCCCCGGTGAAAGGCATGGGTGTATGTGTTTGTTTCTGATTTAAAGTAATTTAAAGATTATATATAAGTATATAGAGTATGTAATGAAGTTTTTGTCACTGAATGGAATATTTGAGAAAATGTACACTAGAACATACACTTTTTTTTAATATTCAAAATATTCTTTTGGTTAATTTGAATTTTTCGAATGAATGTTCTAGTGTGCATTTTCTTAAATATATATATATATATATATATATATATATATATATATATATATAGTTATATAGTTTTTATACAGAAATCAAAACTGATAGTTCCTTCTACTTAATTACCTACTACTCAACTGTTTATTTCAATTCACCTAGATTGTATGAATTCGAAATTCACACACTTAATTAATACTGTATTTCGAGACATAAATGAAGTTGCAAGAATATTCTTTTACAATTTAAATAACTAGTGTAAAAACAACATTACTATTTTCTTTTACTGTCACTATCAAATATAACAATTTTTTTGTTATTTATGTAATCGTTAAGCAGAAGAAGCCAGGTAAGATAAGATTACGTGCGTCTGTAAATTTGGTATTCAAATCAGTTATATATTACTGTTTCGAGTATTTTTTACATAAGAATAAAGAATGACCATTTTAGTGGCCAGTCAATTTTTGAAAACCATAATACATCCATATTATAATAAACATACACGAAGGCTACTTTAGTTTAAGTAACTAGTTAGTGCATGTTATTTGCCTCAACAAATACTCAAGTTGCTCAAGTCCACGAAATCTGATCTTCAAATTTGAAGCAGTGTATTTTATTGTCTAACCAAAATGTTGGAATAAAGTGAGCTTCAGAACAAAAGGGATTATAAAACTGGTCTTGAGAGATGGGACTTCAGGTCCATCAACGAGAAGATTGGGGTTCGATTTCTGGGTAAAACTTGTACGTTTGTTTTAGGTCTACGAGTTGATTATAAAAATGACGATGATTAACATAAGAGTTGATAAATCAAATAAACGAACAAAAAACTTACGGCAAACTACAGAAAATAATTTGGATATCAACATTAAATCTACGCCTGTTGGAACACAGGGTTGAAAAATGCTTCAGCGGTCTGTCGCACAGATGTGTTGAATTCGAATCCCGGTTTCCACATTGTACTTCATGCATGTCTGCAAGTATGGGATTTGAAAAAATATTGATAATGTATACAAAACAAATAACAAGTCCAAACGCCATTCGATAATGGCTTTGAAATGTAAGTTCCAGTTTAATGACTGCAAATTGAAAAACTTCGTAAAATTATACTGTGAATATTTTTTTGGAAATGGGTACAATAAATGAATACTAAACAGAAAGTTTTTCTGAGATAATTGATAGAAATATAAACGGATGGTTAATTTATATGCTCTTTATTTCGTAGATTGAAAACATAGTCTTAACACAAATAACAGGTAAGTACCTATTTCTATCTATAAAGTGAATTGACTTCTCGCTAAGGCTGAAAACTTGATAAAACGAAACTAACTAATCTAATGATTGGATATATAAATCGAGCTGTCAAACTGTTCATTAGTGCCAATATTCAATAATACATCAGTAATAATACGAAATAGTTGTAGAAAACTTTAGATAATGGGCTTTAGCCCAAATCATATGAGTACATTGTACGTACAGTTTTCGTTAAATTTAACCAAGTGTTTAGCATGACAAGTGACTCTGATTTACAGTTATTGTTAGGTTTCATTGCCAAGGGGCAGTTACTATCGCAATAAGAGGTAGGTAAATAAATTGTCGATTTTAAAATTCTCAAAAAAGTACTGCATTCAAGCAGTTTCAAACGAACGGGATTAATTTTTCGATACATACTTTGAGGTTCTATAAATTAGATATCATTTTCTTAATTCCATTTCTTTGAATAATCCAAACGTTCTTATTTTTATATTATTTAAACGCTTTAATATACGTTCAGGTTACTGCATTCCTGGAACTATTTCAATGCATTTAATGTGAAAATAATTCAGGTAACGTAAGTCACGTGTTCGCATAAAAAACGTAACAAATTTTTGTGGTATCACCAAGTTCTTCACGCATTTTTTTCTAGAGAATTCCCAATCAACTAATCAACGCACTATAATTGTTTCTCGAATTTTCCTCGCTCAAATTTAAAAAAATCATTCAGGAATTCTTATATTTTACATCTAGTTGTGACAGATTAAATGCAATGAAATAAGTTTTGAATAAACGATACAAATAACTAATTTCCACTAAAGTATCAATCAAACCTTTCTCGTTAGCTTTCTCTCTAACAGTTTATTCCTTTTATTAACAAGTGAATGATAAAATCCAACACTATATTGAACAAACTCGACGTCGCACTAAATTTTCAAAAACAGAGAGGGTCGGTCGAAATGGCAACAAACGCGAGTGCCGAAAACAAAACAATCGGGGAACGCCAACGGTTACCTTGACCACGATCTTATACACAG